ATGTCGAAGGTAGTGACTTCCATCAGACTGCAGAGCTTCCATAGAGTAAGAAGATGTGACTTCCATAGACCTTCGGACGACAAGCTCCATCAACCCTAAATTGACAACCTTATAAAGTTAATGGAAGACCATGGTACCTATAGGTCCGATATGGAAGGTTCTAGGGGTCAAAATGGAAGGAAGAGGAATGAGGGTTCCATGTAACTTAGGGCTGTTGGGAACATATCCCCATAGACCGGCTAGGAGTATGATGGAAACGAATCAGGGTAGGCTGCAAGTCTGATATGAAGGCAATGGAAGAAATCCAAAGCGAATGGAACTTGGTCCAAGAACGATGGAAGATGCTCAAGACGAATGGAGCTCGGTACAGAAGCAATGGAAGCCGCTGTGAACTGATGGAAGGAGGTTATTTGGTGGTTAAGAGAGGTAGAAAGAAGTGGGGGAATAATTGTAACCACCCCTGTTAGTGGGAGGAGTGGTTATTCTAGCTTAGGATTACAAGTAGGAAAAAGAAACACAACACACATACGCACAACAGATCAATTCGTCTCTTTTCATATTTTTCTTTCCTATTTTATTTTCGTTTATGCAATTTAATTCCAATTACATGCTTTCTGCAATTTATTTACTCGCTTTCCGTAGTTAATCGTAGTTTAGTTCGATCAATCTCGTGAAATCTTCATAACCCGACAATGGATTGGCTCTCTTGAGTACTTCCGGAACCCACGCCGACGAAATCGACAAGCTATTTTGGAATTCCGAATCACATGATCCAACAATTGGCACGCCCGGTGGGACCAAGTCGGGTTCGTGTTCATGTATGCAACTTCGCAGCGGTAAAGTGATCACCATGGACAATCAGAATCAAGCCTCAAGCATGAATATCGGTGCAGGATTTACTGGAACTGGAACGTCGTTTCATCGCAGCGGAAGCCGCACCCCAAGGCTGAAGAGAGAAGAGGAATCATCATCGACCGAAATGATGGTGACCATGGTACGCAGGGAAGTGAATCAGTGTATTCAGGCCGGAATCGGGGATATCGCGTACGAAATTTCTAGGCAATTGGCTGATGTGATCCGGCCAACTGTAAGGAATGAAGCGTTTCAGATTCGTGAAGAGGAACGTCAAGCAGCGCCTAGTGGAATCCAGAATTTTGGAATTCCAGGAAATACATATGGAGGTTCGAGAGGAATAACTCCATCTCATGGAGGGATTCCATCCCTCATAGGAAACGTCGGTTCCAACTTGGTTCGGGGAAACACTAGATCGCCTAGGGGACCGACGAGTGGAACAGGATTGCAATTTGGTAATGTGACGATTCTTCAACGCCCACAAGGAGGGCAACCCAGCGGAGGCGGTGGCCCGCAAATGGTAGGAGGACAATATGTCGCAGGAACCGGTGTTTACGGAGCCCATCCAGGGACAACGCCACCAGGGCAGGTAGCAGGACAACCTAATTGGAACGCACCTCCAGCGCCGTGGGCTCAGCAGGCTCCATATGCCGCTGTCCCTCAAGGAGGAATGGCTGGTCAAGCGTGGGGACAAGGAGGACAACCGCTGATTCCTAATCAGTAGGAGGCCCGGCCATTAATAGATACAGATATTTTAGTAGAAAGTATCCGAAGAGCTTTCCCACGAATGAAATTTGAAGAGCGACCGGTATATCAAAGACCCTACCCAACTTGGGTAAGTGAGATGATACCGTTGCCTGTTCGAAATAAAGCGCCGGATTTTACAATTTTATCAGGCGAAGATGAGAGATCAACGATAGAGCATATGGGAAATTTACAACTCAGTAGATTTGGGAGGAAATGATTGGTATCGTTTACAATTGTTTTCTTTATCTCTGATGGGTACTGTGTTTTCTTGGTATACATCGTTGGCTTCGGGTACTGTGCAGTCGGTCGGATTTGGAGAGGCTTTTTCACGACCATTTTTATGCGCCACCGGGGATATGATGAGCCTGTGGCACAATTTTTGGAGAGGTTTCGACAAGATAAGACACGGTGCACAGTGTAGATCCTCAAACAACAAGCAACCGTGATGGCAGTGGATAACATGCGATCAGATCTTCGAGATCGGCTGGGAGTTCAGGATTTCCAGGATTTTTCGCATTTAAGTGCACTCACAATGAGAGCAGAAAAGCTCATTCGAGAGAGGCGGGATGCTGCTATAGGTAGGTGGAAGAAAGATGAAAAAACAGGGATAACTTGTTGTGCGGATGATGAAAGTTCAGCTGATGAAGATTGTGGCGAGGAACAAGATGTGTTAGCGGCTGAATTGCTGAAAGGAAAAACTTACTCATGTTCGGCATTAAAACCTACAAGGGGTAAGGAGGTAAGAGGCGTGCAGTATACCTTCGATGTATCTAAAGTAGAACAGATTTTTGATCATCTGCTGAAGGACAAACAAATCAAACTCCGAGACGGGCAGCGAGTGCCGTCACCAGAGGAATTGAAAGGGAAAGTGTATTGCAAGTGGCATGGGAGTTATACACATGCTACCGCCAATTGTACGTACCTACGAAACACGATTCAGAAGGCTTTAGACGAAGGTAGACTGAAGCTAGCAGAAAAGAGTATGCAGGTGGATGCGAATCCGTTTCCTGCACCATCCATTAATACCATGTCTATAAGAGGTCTCAAGAGACAGAACAAAGGAAAGCAACCGGTTCGGCAATCGGTTCATGAGCGACTCGGGCCTAGGATACCATAACGGGGTTCAATATTCGATAGGCTGTCTGTGAGAAAGACGCCTAATGGAAATGTTGGAAGTAAGGAACCTAGGGTCGTAGCAAGGAATCCTAACTTGAAAGTGACGATTCCAAATGCCCGGGAAGTTTGGGAGCGTCATAATATGACGACTAAAGCCACAGCTCCAGGCTCAATTATTAAGCCGGATGCCACGGTGGCTGAGGTCAAAGTTGCTAGCGGGAAACAAGTTTGGACCATTACATCCGCTGATCAGATTACCATTACTCCAAGAACCACACGGAAGCCTCTATCGACCGTAAATTTGGAGAAATGGACAATCAATGTGCCGGAGACAAATGCCAGGAGGGAAATGGGTGACCTCACGTGCTCCCAAAAGAGACGAGCACAAAGGAAACGACTACAGGCTAAATTGGAAGTTGAAGGTGTTCAGCCAAATCAGAGGGGTGTAGGGGCCAAGGACAGGAAAATTGAATCAGAAATTCAACAAGCAGCAAGTAGGGACGAAGAAACTTCGAAAGCCCGTGAGCAGAAGGAGAGACCTCAGAAAAATCAAGAGGTTGCAACCTCGCTTGATTTTCTCTACGCCAAGCGCCAGACCCACTTCAAGCTGGCAACACCGATGGGTACTAAAAACTACACAATCAGAGGAGTGTAATGCTGAAGGTGGTCAACTATCGGTTGTGGGGGTATTGCCGTCTGAGTTCAAAGCTCCAGAAGGGGAGCAGAAATATGAGGGAGTGACCGTAGATGAAGAGTCAGCGACAGAATGGAACGATGTAGTGACAACGGTCACGTTTGATCAGATTGGATCCGGGCAAAATAAACACGTGAAGCCCCTGTACATTCGAGCTTTAATGGAAGGACGACCAGTGGGCAGAGTACTGATAGACGGTAGCGCATTCGCCAACGTAATGCCGTTTCGGACGTTCAGAAAGCTAGGAAAGACAAGGGATGATTTAATACCAACTTCGGTGCGAGCTACGGATTTTATGGGAAATTCGTATAAACCACGGGAATTGCTACCGTTGAGGTACAAGTAGGCAAAAAGACGCTACCCTCAGCGTTCGTGATAATAGACAGTCGCCCCTTCGTATGCGGCATTGTTGGGACGAGACTGGATTCACGCTTGCAAGTGTGTCCCGTCGACTTTGCACCAGAAGTTGCTGTTTTGGGATGGCGATAAGGTTCAGGAAGTGGAGGCGGAGAAAGATCCATTCGCAGCGGAGCTTACAGCAGTGGATGCAACTTTCTACTATTCGAAGATGATTCCGTTTTTGGAAGTGATCGCCTCTATGCCTGACGAGGAAAATTATGAGTGTGTGTTTAGATATAATCAATTTAGAATTCAAGCGAGGGCCGATCCACGGCCTATGAATGAAGGAGACTATGATGAATTTCGAATGCGTCGAAATTCAATTTGAGCCGCCCAGAGCAAGCTCCATCGCGAGCACAAAGCCATTCGGAGCAGGTTCCACTGAAGATGGGGAGCGGCTCAAACAAGTTCTATAGCAAGTTCTGAGCCGTCCAGAGCAGACCCCGTGGAAGAAGCGGAACAACTTAGAGGAAAATGCATCGACGTCCTGGACCTGTCCAAAGAAAGTGCTGGTGAAGTAGAGTTACCGTCGCTCGTGCATAAAACCTATCCAGCGTTCCAGGCCCAAGATCCACTGAAAGATGTTGACCTGAGTATCGATGAAGTTCCGTGAATCACCAAACTTAGTGCGTTGTTGACATCAGAAGATCGAGATGCCTTGGTGATACTTATAAGAGAGTACCGGGACTATTTCGCTTGGGATTACGAAGAAATGCCAGGCTTGGCAAGAGAGCTAGTGGAACATCGGCTGCCCATAAAAGTCGGGAACAAACCCCACAAGTAGCCGCCGCGAAGGTTCAACCCAGATGTATATCCGAAGATTAAGGAAGAAATTCAGCGGCTTTTGGGGGCAAGATTCATTTGGACTTGTCGATACCCGGAATGGGTGGCTAATGTCGTCCCCGTACTCAAGAAAAATGGCAAATTACGGGTATGCGTTGATTATCGCAATATGAATTTGGCAACACCCAAGGACAAATACGTTATGCTTGTTGCCGACATGTTAGTAGATGCAGCCGCCATGAACGGGAGTTTGTCGTTTATGGATGGGTATTCCGGCTATAACCAGATTTTTATAGCCGAGGAGGATGTCGCAAAAATGGCATTTCGATGCCCAGGAGCCCTTGGAGTATATGAGTGGGTGGTGATGCCGTTTGGGCTGAAAAATGCTTGAGCGACTTACCAGCGAGCGATGAACACCATATTCCACGATTTAATTGGACAGTCGGTGGAAGTTTACATCGACGACATAGTGGTAAAATCCAAGAATTTTTCGGAGCATCTGGTGGATCTCGAGCAAGCTTTCCGGCGAATGAGGTACTACAACTTGAAGATGAATCCAACGAAGTGTGCGTTCGGAGTGGCCTCCGGAAACTTTCTAGGTTTCTTGGTACATAATAAGGGTATTGAGGTGGATAGTAATAAAACGAAAGCTATCATCAACGCCCGACCGCCTGAGAATCTGAAACAATTTCAAGGATTCCTTGGGCAGGTCAACTTTCTGCGGATATTTGTCTCGAACGCTGCAGGTAAGCTTAAAGCTTTTTCCACACTGCTTAGATTGAGGAAAACAGAAGAGTTTTTGTGGGAGCCGCTACATCAGCAGGCTTTCGAAGCCATTAAGGAAGCTATGGCCAATCCACCGGTGTTGATGCCGGCACAAGAGGGCAAACCTTTGCGCTTGTATGTTTCAGCCATTGAGAATACGGTTGGCTGCTTACTGGCGCAAAAAGTTCCTGATAGAAGTGAGCGTGGCATCTTTTACCTTAGTAAGGTAATGAATTATGCGGAGACAAGGTACACTCCTATGAAAAAATTATGTCTCGCATTATTTTACGCTTGCACGAAACTTGAATATCATTTAGCCCTGAGGGAAACGGAAGTGGTATGTCACGTCGATATTTTGAGATATCTATTAAGCAGGCCAGCTTTAAGGGGAAGGCAAGCGAAATGGGCTCTAAAGCTAGCCATTTTTTATCTATGATATGTACCAATTAAAGCTGTTAAAGGACAGGCCGTTGCTAACTTTTTATCAGATCATCCGAGCTCGGTGGCTGACCAAGCGGCTGATCGTATGGAAGCTATTATTAGTCAGATGCCGTGGATCTTGAAGTTCGACAGGTCCAACACGCAGACTAGCGCTGGAGCTGGGGTATTTATTGAGAGTCCTTGGGGAAAAAAGTGGACTGCTTCCAGGGCATTGGCACCCGGATTTACTAATAATCAAGCAGAATACGAAGCCCTATTAGTTGGATTGAGAATTCTACATGAAAAGGAAGCCAAGGCGATCAGAGTTCAAAGCGACTCACAATTAATTTTGAAGCAGATTGTTGGAGAGTCCCAATGCAAAGATGAGAGAATGAGAAATCTTCGAATGGAAGCAGTTTGGATGTTGCAAATATTTGATGACGCGGTGGTGGAGTTCATACCTCGAGCTGAAAACAGACTAGCTAATGATTTAGCTCAAAGAGACTCTGGGTATAAACCATCCGCCGCGGGAAACTTCAAGTCAGGGCGAGTATGTTTGTGCCCAGTGGAAGCGGAGGATTTGCGTATAGAACTAAAGAAATATTTGAAACAACCAGCCGGTGAAACTCCAGAAAAGCTGCGGAAGGAAGCTCTGAAGTATACTCTGATTGACGGAGATCTTTTTTGCAGGGCCGCCGATGGAATGTTAATGAGATGCGTCGATACTCAAGAAGCCATGAAGGTGATAGGTGAAGTGCATGAAGGAATTTGTGGAGCACACAAATCTGGGCCAGTCATGAGATGGACGATCCGACGATATGGGTATTTTTGTCCATCAATGACAGAAGACTGCATTAAGTACGCTCAAGGATGTGAAGCGTGTCAGCGACATGGCTCTTTGATCCGAATTCCGGCAGAAGAGATGCACACAGTGGTGAAGCCATACCCATTCCGGGGATGGGCGATGGATATCATCGGGAAGATCCATCCGCCATCTTCCAGACGGCACTCGTTCATATTGGTGGCCACGGATTACTTCACGAAGTGGATAGAAGCTGTGCCATTGGCCAATGTGACATATCAGGAAGTGATCAAGTTCGTTAAGGAGCACATTATTCACCGATATAGAATCCCACAAACGATTACCGCCGATCAAGGCACTGTTTTTACCAGCGATAGAGTGGCCGCCTTCGCCGCACAGTACGGGATTGCTCTTTTGCATTCGTCCCATATTACGCGCAGACAAATGGGCAGGCAGAAACAACCAACGAAGTCTTAATTGGGATAATCAAAAAGGTTGTGGAAGATAACCCGAGGAGGTGGCACGAAGTGTTAGGGGAGGCTTTATGGGCTTGTAGGCAATACCGAAATAAAGCCACTGGTTGCACTCCATTCCATATGGTTTATGGACAAGAGGTGATATTGCCATTGGAAATCACGGTGCCATTGCTACGAGTGTTGAAGCAGAATTTGCTTAGTCCCGAGCAATATGACACAGCGATGTTACAAAGATTGGATGGCGTACATGAGGATCAGATGATGGCTCTGGAGAATATCAGGGCAAATAAAGTAAAGGTAGCGCGAGCTTACAACAAAAAGGTACATAGGCGAACATTCCAAGAAGGAGATTTAGTATGGAACACAGTGCTACCTGAAGAATTCAAAGATAATACATTCGGGAAGTGGTCTCCTATGTGGGAAGGTCTGTATCGAGTGAGTAAAGTGTTGCCTAACGGTGCTTATAGATTGATGAGTATTGATGGGATAGAACATAAAAACGTTATCAATGCTAAGCACCTTAAGGGATATATGTCACCACTCGAGTTCAGATAAAGAAATGTAATGTGCAAAATGAAAGCAGGCCCTGTTTAGGCCGCTAGATATAAAGCAAAATGAAAGCAGGCTATTAAGCCGCTAATGTATAGAACGAAAGCAGGGCATTAAGCCGCTAGTATGCAAATGAAAGCAGGCTAGTAAGCAGCTAATATGCAAAATGAAAGCAGGCTATCAAGCTGCTAGTGTGCAAGCAGGAGATAAAATGAAAATAAATCATCACAAGTAGCCAAATAAGTAGTAGATCATAAAATCCAAACGAAACTACGGGTAGCTCGAAGAAAGGCGAATGTTTCCCAAAGTTAACGCAGGGTAGGAGGAGTATCCTTTGTTGCTGGGTCCGCATCGGGCTCGGAGTTATCAGGACCAGGTGTCGCTTCCATGGGAACTGGATCCACTGGGACTGGGGTCGGATCATCTAGAGACTGAGCTGTTCCATCGAGACCAGTCGCTGCTTCCACGGGTTGTAGTTGAAACCAGACCTTCCACAGACGGAGCCGTTCCATCGAGGCCTGGCGCCGCTCCCATAGGAACTAGACCCGTTGAAGTTGGAATCAGTTTTGCCGGATCTAGAACCAGTCCATCAGGCCTTGGAACTGCTTCCACAGGGATTGGATCTATCAGAGGCGGAATCGGATTTTCCATAACCGGAGCTGTTCCATCAGGAACTGGCGCTGCTTCCACTGGAGTTGAAATGTCTGGGGTCGGGGCTACTCCATCAATGATTGGAATCACACTTGCAGAAATGAGACCCTCCGAAGACAAGGCCGTTCCACCGGAGCTCGAAGCTACACCGGCTAAAGCTGAGCCTTCTGGGACCGAGGCTGCCTCCTCGGAGACGGGAACTGTTGAAGTCGAAGGTGATTCAGAGGTGCTATGATCTGCTGCCACTTCTAAGGCTGATATCAAATCCCTCACAACGTGAGCAACAAACGCTTGGACGTCGGCAACAGTCTGTAATGGAGGTTCAGCTTTGGAAACCATGGGGATGAGAAACCTATGTGCTGATGGTAATCATGTCGTCAATCCCCCAAGCTTCCCATTGGGTATCAACCGAACCGCCGAGGGTCGCCGTCCATTCTTTGAAGGTTGCACCGTCGGGATATCTGGTTAGAACCCTACCTTGTTGAAGAGCCAACAAATAAAATGGTTTCGCGATCAACAAGGGAGATACACCGTCGCTGGGAGGACTCGTTGGAGTTCTTCCTTTCGGGGATCCATTTCCGCCAACGGCGTCAACACCCACGAGTTCCCATCATCGGACAAACGCAAAAGTTCTTCGGCCGGCATCGAGTAGCGGATCGGACTTGGGACTGCAGTTAGCGGCGATGGTTCAGCTACACTGCCAGAAGGAAGAGCTATCGAAGAGGCCATACGGTTTGATACTCGCGCTCACCAAACAAAATGAAGCCTTCGAAGGAGAATCGGGAGAAGAAACGAAGGGAGAGGGAAATGGAAAAGGAAAGTGATGATAAACCCTTAGAAAAACCCTTAAATGTCTTTTCTCTCTCAGGCGACGCGGGAATCGAAGGAAACAGCTGTCACATCAATGCTAGAGGGGTTTACGTGAGATATCAAGTTGGGATAAATTTTGTGCCAAGGCCCACGGGGGTAAATCCCACACGAAGGAAGTCCCAAAAAAGAGAGCAAAGCTTCACATAGCTTACATTCCATCTATTTTTTTCGGAGGGTAATTGTTGGACCCCAGGTCCAAAATAGTGACTTCCATCAGGCTGCGGAGCTTCCATAGAGCAATAAGATATGACTTCCATAGAACTTCGGACGACAAGCTCCATCAACCCTGAATTGGCAACCTCATAAGGTTAATGGAAGACCATGGTACCTATAGGTCTGATATGGAAGCTTCTAGGGGTCAAAATGGAAGGAAGAGGAATGAGGGTTCAATGTAACTCAAGGTTGTCGGGAACATATCCCCATAAACCGGCTAGGAGTATGATGAAAATGAATCAGGGTAGGCTGCAAGTCTGATCTGAAGGCAATGGAAGAAATCCATAGCGAATGGAACTTGGTCCAGGAATGATGGAAGATGCTCAAGATGAATGGAACTCGGTCCAGAAGCAATGGAAGCCGCTGGGAACTAATGGAATGAGGTTATCTGGTGGTTAAGAGAGGTAGAAAGAAGTGGGAGAATAATTGTAACCACCCCTGTTAGTGGGAGAAGTGGTTATTCTAGCTTAGGATTACAAGTAGGAAAGAGAAACACAGCACACACACGCACAACAGATCAATTCGTCTCTTTTCATATTTTCTTTCCTATTTTATTTTCGTTTATGCAATTTAATTCCAATTACATGTTTTCTGCAATTTATTTACTCACTTTCCGTAGTTAATCGTAGTTTAGTTCGATCAATCTCGTGAAATCTTCATAACCCGACGACGGATTGGCTCTCTGGAGTACTTTCGGAATCCACACCGATGAAATCGATGAGCTATTTTGGAATTCCGAATCGCAGGATCCAATAGTGTGTTGTCGGCATTATGCTGACTACTTACCGTTAACACAATAACTTATGTTAATTTTTAAATAAAATACTAAACTTTCTCTATTCACTTACAAAATATATATATTTCTAATTTGAGTTATCAATTATAAAGTAATTATTTTTTTTTAATAATTACGGATCTCCTTTTTTATATTTACACAAAAAAATAAGGGTCAAATTATCATTACACCACTTTCAACTATCCACTATAATTAAAATATTTTTATTTTTTAGACTTTGCACAAAAAATAAATAAATATTTTCAAAATGAACGGGAGCAGATTTTTGGAATAATAAATATAAAATAAAAAATACATAAAACTAGATCTAATTTATAAATATAAAAATTTATATAAAATAGTATAAAAACAAAAGATATAGAAAATATTATTTCTTAGGTAAACATTAAAATTTATTATCTAAACCACGTTATCGGTTTTGTACGTTGCATATTTATTTTTTTTTAGAAAATATTTGTACTTTTTAATTATATTTTAAATTTTTTAATTTATAAATTTTTAATTTTAATTATACTAATTTTAATTTATAATTATTTATCCTAATGTCACGAACCGAAATTTTGGCCAAGCAATGCCGAGGGGGCTGCCGAGGAGCGCCAGGGAGAGAGTATTGCCGAGAAGAATGCAAATGAGCGTCGAGGAGGGGTCTGCGGCACGCAAACACGAAGAGGTTAACGGAGATCCTTGAAGATGTTCCGGAATCCCGTGGCATGTTCCGGAACCTTCTGGAATGTTCCGAAATCTCCTAGAATATTCAGGAATATTCTAGAAGTCGAGTTGATGTTTATCCGCTAGATTTAGTTTATCCGTATTTCTTTATTTAGGTATCTTTATCTGTAGTTTGTTACGATATAGCGTATCAGAGTGTGGATTTGATTTGACCCATTTTAGGTCTGGTTTGTTAGAGTGTCTATATATAGAGGAGGAGTCCTCACTTGTACTTCACTTCAGTTTTGAGAATTAATAAACACTCTACTTTTCCGGGTGCATCTTATAGTGTTCTTACTTTTAGCATGTGTTGGAGTTGCAAGCAAGACTGTACTAGCGAGTTCTCGAAGGTGTCGAGGATTTGCTAGGCCGACGGGAAGGTGTTCGAGGAGAAACCGTCCGACCCGTTACAAGTGGTATCAGAGCTGCGTTTGAGGGATGGCGACCGATAAGTCTGATGTTGAGTTTGAGGTTGAAAACCAGGTCTCGAGGCGTAGCCGGAGGAACACGAGGGACTAGCCTGCAAACATCATGAGATCATTCGAGACCAGGTTGGCCAGGGTGGAGCTGACCGTTGGAGATCATCATGACAAACTTAATGAGTTGTGCGATGGGATACTGGTCTCGATCGATGCCGAGAGGGAGGAGTCTCGTAAACGGGAACTGACAATGATGGAGCTTACAGAGGCGTTGAAGGCCGGGGTAGTCACACTGAAGGAGACCGTGGCAGAGTACAGGGTTCAGATCGCGAGGCTGGAGAAACCCAAGGTTGCAGAACCTTCGAGTGTTCTAGAGGAGTTGACAATGGTAAGGGCGGCGCTAGCCGAACTCCAGACGAGGAGACCGATCGGGGTTGCCTCGGCAATCCCAATGGGGAATATACCGTGTCCAGAGAGTTATGTTGGGGAGTGGAAGGCTCGAGCTGTGGATGAATTTCTCTATGATATGGAGAAATACCTCAAAGATTCCGACATCATGGGAGATCCGCACGGCATCTTGGTTCCTAAAGGGCTTGGCCCGTACTTGGTGGAGGCAGAACGAGGGGATGCATGGCAATAAGGGAGGCATCACGACTTGGAAAATATTCAAGCTTGAGCTTAAGGTATAATTTGCAACGGCTGATGTAGAGGAGGAGGCATGGTGTACAATTCATCGGTTAGAACATCGAGAGGATCACTTGAAGGAGTACATCGAGAAGTTCTCCGATCTATTGTTAGAGGTGCCAAGTATGTCGTCTAAGGAGGCGTTGTTGACATTCTTGGAGGACCTGAGACCGTGGACTAAGTTGAGGATTAAGGAGAAGCTCCCTTCAACTGTCAACGGAACAATCAGGTATGCTCGATGGTTACTTGAGGTCGAGCAAGAGAAGCCCAGCGAAGATGACCAATCAAGGGGGATTAACCAAGACAGAAGTGGGGGAGACCAAACTTGGCAGACTCCACGGGCTAGTGATACCAACGAGACTTGACAGAAATCCGCAGCTAAGGTCGGGAATGTGAGGAGGCCAGGGCCGACATATGTTCGGTGTTTGGTCTGCAGGAGCAAGGATCACTATGCTAAGGATTGTCCAAGTCGATGAGATATTGTGGTGTTGGACGTGCCGCCAGAGGTGACAGAAGGCTGGGTAGCCTGCACTCAAAAGGCGGCTCCTGCTGATACCTTTAGAGGAAGGATGTTTATTAAAGCGTGGATAGGTGGAGTGTCGGTGACATGCTTGCTCGACCCGGGTGCTAATGACAACTACCTCAGCGAGCAGCTAGCCCGTATGATTGGCCTACGGTGGGCACCTTCTGGAGGATGATTCAAGGGAGTCAATGGTGGGTGGACTCCCATAGCTGGGGTGGCTAGAGACGTGTCCATCTAGCTAGGCGATTGGAAAGGTACAGAACTATTCAATATAGCTCCTATGGACGAGTATGCGGTATTTCTAAGGATGAGGTTCATGAACCATGTCAAGCCTAAAATGGTCCCGCATGAGCAAAGGTTCACAATCACAAAAGGTGGGACACTGTGTACTGTGATGGTTTACAGGGAAATAGAGTTCAACTCGAAACAAGTGAAGAAGGGTCAAAGAGAAAGGGAGTCGACTCTAGAAAAAGTGACGAGAGCATCGCTAGTGATTGCGAGCAAGACATAAGAGGCCCGTCTAACGACCTAGGGCGAGCCCTCAAAGAGGTCGAGAAAACCACACGGGATGGTCTGCCTAAGTGGCAACCCCCTCGTAAGACGATCAATCCTGGTGTCGATGAGGTGAGTGGAGCAAGACCAGCCCCTCGGTCTACATACCAGATGCCCCTTAATGAGTTAGTGGGTGTTAAGGAGAAACCGTGTATGATCCTTGCGGAGACTGAGTTGAAGAGCAAACGTCGACTTGGAAGGACGAATGGTGTGACAGACACTTTGAGTTGCAAGGGAATGTTTGAGTTCTAGCAGGTAATGCCGAAGAAGCTAGTAAGAGTATACGAGAGACCGAGCCGGCCAACAGTACACCATAGTAAACATTGGCGAGGTCGTGTAGGAGTCGTCAAATCCAACCTGGAGAAGTCCCGACGAGGAGTAAAGACGTGGACGGGCCAAAGGAGGATGTTCCGAAAGTCTAAATGAGAAGATGTGGGGCTCATAAAGAACGGAACCGACAAGATGGCGGAAGAGATCGTGGCGGACAAGAGGTCGGACACCTGAGTCGAAAACTGCTGATGAAGTTCCCGGCTAGGTGGCGTGGATTATATAAGTCCAAGGCGAGCTAGAGGGAGACCAGAGGCGTATGGCTGTTCGAGGAGTGTACTCGTGACTTGGAGACATTAAGGGCAATGCCTAGTTCAAGTGGGGGAGGATGTCATGGACTGAAACTTTGACCGAGCAATGCCGAAGAGGCGGCCGAGGAGGGCCAGGGAGAGAGTATTGCCGAGAAGAATGCAAAGGAGCGCTGAGGAGGGGTCTGCGGCACGCAAACACGGAGAGGCTAGCGGAGATCCTTCAAGATGTTCCGGAACCCCGTGGCATGTTCCGGAACCTTCCGGAATGTTCCAGAATCTCCTAGAATATTCCGGAACATTCTAGAAGCCGAGTTGATGTTTATCCACTAGATTTAGTTTATCCGTATCTCTTTATTTAGGTATCTTTATCCGTAGTTTGTTACGATATAGCGTATCCGAGTGTGGATTTGATTTCGCCCATGTTAGACCCGGTCCGTTAGAGTGTTATATATAGAGGATAAGTCCTCACTTGTACTTCACTTCAGTTTTGAAAATTAATAAACACTTTACTTTACGGGATGCATCTTATAGTGTTCTTACTTTTAGTATGTGTTGGAATTGCAAGCAAGGCTATACTAACAAGTTCTCAAAGGTGTCAAGAATTGCTAGGCCGATGGGAAGGTGTTCGAGGAGGAACCGTCCCACCGGTTACATTCCTAGGTCTGCCTCTAATATAGCTATTTATTTTTTGTACGTGAATTTTAGAATATTAATATTTTATAAGTAATAATACAAAAAAAAAAAAATTAAAAACAACTCTTACTTGTGAGGTTTTGATTTTGAATAGTAAAATTTCGAATTGAAATAGTTGTTTGATGTGATATAAATATGAATTGTTGTGATGTTTTGAATATAAAATTAGATTTTAATGTAATAAAATAAATAAAAATTGAGTGTTTGATTTGATATTTTTGGAGGAAAAAAAAAATTAGAATAGTAAAATCAGATGTAAAATTTCACAAGTAAACAAAGTCTTTTAATGACATTTTTCGGTAATATTATGTAAAATGCGTAAGTATTTTCTATTATTCAAAAATTATATTTAATTTTATCCTCAATATAAATTAAATTTTAACAATATATTTTATATTGTTCTCATCACTTTATATTTTATTAACAAAAAATTTACATAAATAAAAAGGTAAATTACATTTAAAATAAGATCAAAATATAGTAAACAAAAAATTATAACTATATTTATATAAAATAGTTCTAAATATCTAAAAAGAATGACAATTCAAATATTTTATTAAATAATATTAAAAATTAAATTGTATTAAGGATCCTATAAATTATTATTATTGTATTGAATAAATCAATATTATCCAAATTAATCACTCAAAATGATCTTACCCTATGCATATTATTCTTATATAAGGCTTAAATTGATTGAATCCAGCATGCAATAGTGCGACAATGGAAGGCTGGCTGGTGTTAGTTTCGGGTTTGATTACTAGTTTATTACAACTATAATCTTTCTTCTATTCTATTCTATAGACTATTCTATACTAAACTATACCATCCTATACAAGCTGCAATAGTGATTCCTCCTCCTCCCTCTTCAACTCAAAAACTTTATTTAGGACATCTTCAACAACCTGAAAACAAACATCCATTTTGTAATAACAACAAAGTTATTAACCAGTCAAAATTGCTTATAAATCCACTAAAAGTCGCAATTTAGAAATACAAGAGACTCCCCCATGTTTGATGCATAGAATCTCCTAGAAATTGCGTTATATTTAGGAAATTTTGTGCAATATTTTAAAAAATACGAAAAAGTCTCACGCTGTTTCTAACTCACGGAAAAAAAAAAAACAAACTTTTCAAATCACAATTTTTCCTATTAATTGGATGAAGTGGGTTGTGTACCAACCTTATCAGGAGTGGATGCACCTGAAGTTATGCCGACTGTAATAGGACCTTTGGGTAACCAATTCTCTTTCTCCACCAGCTCGCCGTGCTGAAATATAAATACATAATCCATATATGCAATCTCAATCTCAATCTCAATCTGTGTTATTCACAATTAATATGAATTTCGTGCTACAATACAATACAATAGAATCGTACCTTCAACTTGTAGGCTATCTTGTTCCCGGGACCTATTCTTTTCTCACTATCGATCCAATACGATGGAAGCCCCCGCTCTTCAGCAATTTCTTGCAAGTGTGATGTGTTGCTAGAGTTGAACCCACCTACCACAAGCATTACATCCAATGGTTCTTCCACTAGTTTATACATAGCATCTTGCCGCTCCTACACACACTCGCATATGAGTCAGACTCGATATCCTATATGTATGTCTGCATACTTACTGTGCGCCAACTATTTTATTTTATTATATTATTAAATTTAAATGAACTACAAGTACCTGAGTTGCATCACAAATTGTGTTGAAGCTCAGGAAGTGATGGTTAATATTTTCCACTCCATATTTACGCATCATGGTTCTTTCGACTAATTTTCCTGCAGAATAGAGCAATCCGCCGTTAGAACAAGCATGTGATGAGAGGAACGGGACAGAATATATACATATCGAGACATTGATATATCTGTGTATTTGTGTGTTTATGTGTACTGACTCACCAATCTCCTCAGTTTCTCCTTTCAACATTGTAGTTTGATTCGCAATACCAACTTTTACGAGATCTATGTCTGGATCAAACCCCTTGGACACAGCATTTTTAAATTTCTGGACATTGACATATCAGATTAGATACTAAGAATTTTTTACCAAAATAAAAGAAAGAATACTTTCGAGAATTTAGGTATCAAGGTACCTCCATAAATGCCTCTTTAGTTGAGCTCGAACCGTCAAGTTTGCCTCCCAAAATGTAATCACACACATATGTTGCCTGCGACATACATGTTCACTAAAATATGTATTATGCTAGATAGACAAATATAAGAGACTGAAGCTGATGGAAAATTGATCGCACCTCCGCCATGCTCTTTACAATGATATACTTCCCAGCAAAAGAAGCAGTTGCTATAGTCTCTTCATGAAAGTATTTTCCATGGATGATTGAAGTGTACTCCCCCTTTTTGTGCTTATCGACTATATTCCAGACCTTAACAAGAAAAGACAGGAATGACTATAAAATCAAGCAAATAATTACTTCTGGTAACACCTTGACTGAAAATTTAGCTACCTTGGATACCCATGGGCATGTTGTGTCAACTATTTGGACATTCTTCTCGCTCAAAATCCTCATCTCTTCCACAGCAGCTCCGAAAGCAGGAAGTACGACAACATCACCTTTGTCAACAACATCAAATTGCTTTTCACCATTGGTAAGAGGAATATCCTCCACTTCCATGTCTGCAAGATTCTGGTGGCAAATAACAAATTCAAGCTGTTTAGATGGATATACCAATAATATCAATTTTCTTCAATCTACAACTAATTGCCGAAATCCATTTCTCGAAATAAGGTATAGTTACCGGTACATAGACATTTAACCTATTCATAAGAGTAAACTGCAGATTCCCAAAAGATAAACACAGAGAATAAAGCATGCTGCGCAAAGAGTTAATTGACTAGGCTTCATTCAGTACCTCTTAGTATACGGCTATACCCAACAAATAGAGATATGGGAGATATATACAATAAGCAGTTGTTCGTGTACAGAGCAAAACATATCATGGTGTTATTTTCAGAATCATTCTTCCTATAACAACTGACTACATTCTAACAAGGATTATGATATAAGCAGAAACCTGATTAACAACTGGATTGTGAACGATTTCATTAGTGATCCAAATCCTCTCGTTGGGAAACTGCTTTCTTGCTTCATAGGCAATCTGAACAGCCCGTTCGACCCCCCAGCAAAATCCATGAGCTTCAGCAAGCTTCACCGTAACATTTCCCCATGTATACTCATTTCCGTTCTCTTTCAGTGTCTGAATGACGTCACCTGAATGGTCCAATAACATTAGTCTAAATAAATGTAAAGGAGCAGTTGCGGTGAACAACATAGAAGTGTGTCTACAAAGAAGTTATTTAAGATGCAAAATGAGATGGTAGAAGGAAATGATTTCATAGGATCACCATCCTCAATAACTGTGAAATCAAGGAATTTGCAGCTCAAGATCACCGAGACAGCAATAAAATCTTGCTTAATGAAGCCATGAAGACAACTTCAAAAAATAATAATAATAAAATCGATTCGATCATTGTTTGGTTTCCATCAAGATCAAAGAGTGAATTTCACCAAAGCCCGAGCTCATACACAAAGATCTACAGCACAACACTTACTTGTATAATCCTGGCTCATCTGTTCAAGAGTTGCCTCTTTATGCCCAAACCCCTTGCGGTTATAATTTTTGCTTCTCGTCAAATTGTGCCTAAAACCCTTGGCGTCGAAGTCCGTCCCTGCCTCTAGCGAAGAAGTTGCAGCTTCTCCGGAGGCAGCGCATCGCACAAAGTACGGGTTCCGCTGGCGGAACAATCTGGTATCCGGCAAGGAAAGCTCCGTCCCGGTGGAGAAACGACACAAGTGCAGAGAAATCGCCATTCTAGGTCAACACGCAATTCGCGCACGGTGCACGCCTGTGATGCATAGCGCGGTATTTATCCCCCGGGCACACTGGCAGTTTGTGGCCAATAAATTTTGCATGGAATTATTGTGATGCAGGTTCTCCCAATCCCATCGCTTTCGTGGAGAAGCAAAAGACGAAGAAGAAGAAGAAGAAGCAAACAAATGGCCGTATTTTCCAGAAAAATCATTGTCATCGTTAACAATTCCCTTCAAGACTCCATCAACCAAGAGAATCATTTTCTACCATAATACTCAAACACCATCGACAATTACTCAAGTGGCAGAATTCCAGCCATAATCTGGTATTATCTCTGAAAGAACCCGACAAGTCCAGCAACGTCGTCATCGTCATCGTCATCGCAGCACTAATTTCATCAATTCCACAATCCCAGCCAGGGCTGGGCTTATATAATGATTCTGGGCCTGAGTCCATAATATGGGCCCATCCAAACTCATTAACTAAGAACCATCTAAGAGGCTATTTGAGTCCATTCAAGAAATCGATATAGCTCCTCGGAAAATATTATTATTATTATTATTATTTTTGTTCTATGGTATATTATAATTATCAATTTTAATTTTATTAAAATTATTCTTCGAATTTTGGTCTTATTCAAACTAAAATTAATCAAGCTTAGTCTCATACTTTGCCGACTGATACTGAATATGATTGTGTTGACTTGAACACAATCATGTTGGATTTAACACAATCCTTATAAGCACGAAAAATCTCGTAATCTGACAACGCAACAGATTGACACGACCACATAAAAAAGCATTTCTCTCCTTTTATTTTTCCAAATACAGCTTAAATTCTCAATATACCAAAGTATATCAAATGATACAAAACCATATTAAAAACACATTTTTTCAAAATACTTTAGCTTCATTTTTTCAAAATACTTTGGCTTCTTGCTTATATAAATCATTAAAAGAACATATCCAAAAATAGTGTTATCATTGAAGTATTAAGAAAAAAAAAAAATTGAGATAAAAAACGAGGAAAAGTTGGAATGTTCAAGTTAGTGTGTTTGAGAATGAATAAGGATGCCCTTAATATAGGAACATCCACTTGGATAAGACAGTCACATTTAATTGTCATAACATCAGTCATAATTATCGTTTTAATTTCCGTCGTAATTAACGCAATCATACAGATATATATGACAACAGATGGCCATTCGATGGAATAAGATTTTATCCAGATTCTTCCTCTGCGATTTGGGCCAAATATCCGGGCTTATACTTAGCTTTCTCATGGACTATAATTTGAACACATCTCGACACAAAAGATAAAATATTATTTTTTTGGTGGTTATCAATCTTTTATTAAAATTTTAAAGTCGTCAAGCCAAGTATTTACTAGGCTGCAAGACCCATGATCCTCGAACTCATAACCTATGTAGAGGTGGTAAATTGGACCAGGACCGGCCAGAGAATATTTTTGGACCAGACGGCATAGCCCAGTTTCTACCCGGGCCTAAAAAAATTCAAGCCCGACCACGACCCGTTTTGAAACCGGGCTAGCCTTTTTTTTTTTTAATTTTTAGTTTAGTTTTTTTTTAAAAAAATTCTGAAACAATTTATTAATTTTTATAAGATAAGTGTGAAAATTAAACTCATGACCTAATATTATTTTTCACATAAATTCATTTGTTAATATATTTTTAAAATTATATTTAATTTATGAATTTGGCCTGGGCCAGGTACGGCCCGATCTTGATGGGCCCAGACACGGTCTAAAATTTGGGCCTATTTTTTCACACCGTGTTTTGATCTAATTTTTGTATTGTGCTTATTTTTGTTAGCTCTAGACCTATAATTGCTATGTACAGTTAGGTGGCACGTGCGTATGACTCACCGTGGTTTGACCATAACTTTGGTTACTTTAATAAGCTTAAATCTTAATTTTTTTGTCTAAAATAATTGAGAAAATCTCAATTAATTCACATATTTGGGTCAATGCATTTCTAACTCATTAAAAAGCCAATTTTGAAAATTTCAAAATTAATTTTCTATAAGTTAAATTTCACTTTGTATTTTTTAATGAATATATTTTTATATTAGATATGAAGAATAGTATCGATAATTTAAAAAACTGAAAAATTGCATCCAACCTACTTTGATTTAAAAAAATAAGCATCAATTCCTCTTATGGTTATAAAATTGCATTACTTTCCCCCGTGTACTGAAAACATAGCGCATAACTCTCAAAATCTCTTCACATAAAGGTGTTGTTAAAACATGCGTTGTTTCTGTGATTGTTTAGGTGAAAAAGTAAAAACACTTTGTTAAAGTTACAATTTTATCAATTTCATCATTTTAATTGTCCAAATTGTGTCACTATAGAGAAACATGTGCGGAGCTCCCCTTAAACCATTTATGCTCCTTCACATGCATCAACAGCCTCCAAGCTCACTGATGTTTGGCTTATCCACCTTCATAATGCCACCGAATTAACCATCTCTCTAGTCAATATAATCGTAAACAGCCCTTGGGTGATCTTGAGCGCCATAAAATTCTTTCATTTCATAACCCTAACTCAGGCCAATCTTTCCGGCTCATTCCCCAGCACATACATCAATCTCTTCAGCAATAATCTAAAGAAGAGAGGCAACAACTTCCACACAGTGTTGCATTTCAATTCGACTTTGTTAAGGGAATGAATGCAACCAAAGGATTCTTTTTATTGTATATTGTTGGACAATAAAAACAAAATTCTTTTAACTATTGATTTTTGTTATTATCCCTTTTACATGATACTATTTTTGTTTATTCATCTATTTACTTTTATTCATCTTTGTTTATCTTGAGATGTAAGAATATGAATTCTTTCTTGGTGTTTGATTTCAACTTTTGATTTTTGTCCTTTGAAATTGAAGAATGTGAATTCCAGGCATGCTTAATTGCTTTAAACTAGTCCATTGACTTTCAAGATTTAAATTTCATAAAATTTGTGTGTTCTTGCCTCTTGGACTCTTGTAATTGTGTAGATCACCCTATATGTTGGGATATTCTATTTTAGCTATCAATTTTTTGTACAATAAATAGATCATTTATTCATTTATGGATTTTCTTTCAAGATTGCTATTTGAGTTGTTTGTTGCTGCATGTTTATATTATACATACATATATATATATAATATTACAATAATCATGTCTACACTTTACACACTCAATCCATGACACAGTGGCAATGATAAGTATGTGTTAAATCAAGATCATCATTGTCAATGATTATGTGTGTATACGAAGTGATGGATCCAACTCCAATTTACATAATTCTTTTTGCATTAACTTGTAAATTTTATTGAATGTAGATATAACAAATGAAGTCCTTTGTAGCTGATCATGGCTTTAATTGAATTATATATTTTGTTAAAATACATTTAGAAGCAATATATTATATTTATGGTAGTTATCTTATTTAAGAGATTTATAGGATTTTTGCCTTATTCAAACGATTTGTATTTCATTATAAATATGTATATATTCTTATGATTGTAATAGAGAATTTCAATTTCATATTCTAACATGGTATCAGAGCCAAATTCTCTCTGGATACCTCCATAACCCGTTATATCCCATATATATTTTTATATTTTATTAATGTATTTGTTTCTATCCACGATCATGTTGTTATTTTCATGTCGTCTCCGTCTCTACTACTCCACTGACAGAATCTACTTTCGGCTCTAATGCCGTTGAGAGTCTTGTTTCGACTATAACTCTATTGAGAGCGAGGGAGTCATGTTTCCGACTCTAACTTTTTTGCTCTGGTTCCGTTGTGAGCGAGCGACTCCTATTTTCAACTTAGTTTTCAACTCTAACTCTATTGAGAGCGATGGATTCATGTTTCCGACTCTAGCTCTGTTGTGAGTGAACGAGTCCTGTTTTTTGCTCTAGTTCCGTTGTAAGCGAGCGAGTCCTATTTTCCAACTCTAACGGTAGTGAGAGTTCTGCTTTTGACTCTGATCCAGTGGATGACTACACCACTTTCAGTCAATCTTAGCGAATTCAAATTCATACGCAGAAGATCTCGGCTATATCTTTTTCGGTCATTTCTAACAAACTCAAGTTTGTTTCATCATATCTTGAGTTTGAGGAGGGATGTTAAAATATATTAGAAGCAATATATTATATTTATGGTAGTTATCTTATTTAAGAGATTTATAGGATTCTTCCCTTATTTATACTATTTGTATATCATTATAAATATGCATATATTCTTATGATTGGAATAGAGAATTTCAGTTTCATATTCTAACATGTTTCTTCAATAAGTCTCTGACGGAAGTCTTGTACTGCTGTACAAACTAAGATTTTGATCAAGACAATTGTAGTTACTCCATGGTTCTAAGAAATGCAAATCCATCCGATGCCGAATTCATATTCATACTCCCACAACAGAAAATAAAGGAAAAGAAGCATGTCATTGTCACTAGATTCAACTCATTTAATTGTAATTGATGTTGCCAATGATTTGGTTGTAGTACATAGAATTGCATTTGTAAAACATATTTTTATAGAATTTCTTAACTTTTAACTTCTGTTTCATATATAATTTGCAACAGATTATATAATAAAGATTTATGTTTATATGCAAGAGATTATATAAGTGTAGTAACTTACAACATTTTTTTGGATTTATTTTGTTTTCAAAAGTTTCAAATGCTTTGTAGTCTTACATGTCTCGTTTTTGTTACCGTTGTAGTTGTGTTGATATAGATATCAAATTGGTACAATAATAAGAATCCAAAGTCCTAGATGTAATCCTATTGTCTAAATATTATATTATTCCACTTGCAATTAAAAGTTCTAGAGATCCAAATTTGAAAGAAGTCGAGATATTTAATTGCTTACACCTTCTACTGAAAATTATTTATCATTTAATTGCTAGATTGTTGCTATATGTTGCATAGAATATAAATTATGATGATGTAAAACTATGACACACACAAAAGAAAACCAAGACACATTACGAAAAATAAAAAATCAAAATCAGAAAAAAAAAAAAAAAACTACACACATTATGGAAAAATAGAAATGCTATAATCAATATGAAAAACATGACTCTAATGTATCAACTATAGAAAATATATGTTATAAGAAAGAGACTATCTAAGTTCGGCATAATTTTGATAGAAACAATAATAAGTCAATGGAGTATAATAATTTTCCAAAAAACAAACAAAATTCAGTATACCAAATAACATGTATGAAAACAGTGCGGCGGCTACAGTGCTGAATTTAAAATTCAGCACTGTGCTGAACAACACATCATGTGCTATTAGACAATACATAATATTATTAAAAACAACACATTGTATATGTTAATATAATACAAATACATCATATGAACAAAACACACATGTTGTAGTCTCAACAACACACGATATTACTACAGACAACATAGAATATTACTACAGACAAGATATTGTATATATTAATATAATACAAATACATCATATGAACTAAAAATACATGTTATAGTTTCATATAACACACAACAGTTAATTTTAGCACATGATACACTTGTATGTAGCACACTTGTTACTATTAAAAACAACACATACATTTATTATACACAACATGTGCTGTATGTAATATTAATGTGTGTTGTTTGTATATATAATGTGTGCTGAGAAAATCGGCACCATAATCATCCCCATGAAAACAAACTCTCCTTTTTGTGTAACCATTAGGATGTGCAACACTAATATAGTATAAATTCAACATAAATACAAAACTAACATGCCACAAGTTCATAACTAGTTTGTGCAATACAAATACACCGCACAAATAGAACAACTGAATTTTGACACAAATATATGAAAAATAATTGATAGGTCTATTCCATTATGTCGAAGGTGGTTGCAAACTCTGTATATTTGAAGCCGATGTGTGGTGTGTTCGTGGTGCATAAGAGAACCGTGCACTCCATAGCAGCGAGACTAACGATAGGCGTCTAGAAAGTCCCTAGTGATCAATCATTGTGAGTTCATTGATAACAGTCACACATTCTATCAAAACATAAGGTAATATAGAGTAAATTATCAATATGGTACTTTCTGAGGCAAACTGTGGTGGTAACATTACCTATACTTTCAGTCATCGTCCCAACCTGTGAAGATATAACCACATTACAAGAGTTTTATTTGTTTAATACAAAAAATCCAATTAGAATAATGATCTTAAAGAATATGATTTAGGAATTTTTAGGGCTAAAATTACATATCTAGCTCGTGTGAGACGATTCTTGACCTATAACAAAAAATTTTCTTCCTAACCTAGTGCAGTTTAATGGAAGTCTTTTTCATTGGTTCCACTGCAAGATTTATTAGTCTAAAGTATTAGAAATCACTCAATTATGGAATAATAGTACATGTAAGTAAATTTTCATACTGATGGAGAAAATGGAACATTCTTACAACGTTGTTTATTATGACTCTGTTCAAGACACTTGGAACATGTAGTAGTCAAGCCTTTATGTGAAGTTTTTTTTTTTTTTTTTTTTTTTTATCTCTCTCATCATGGCCATCATGTTTTATTGTTGTCTTTGGTCTACTTGTGCGTACTTTGACCATAGGAGGATCGGGTGGACCGAGGGAAGATTACTCAAATTCATGCATGTCAGGAACAAGAGTGATGTTGTGCATATAGACACGTCTATATGTTTCCATCTTAATGCACTCATCAACGTAATCATCAACATTGAGTCTATGGTAGTCAATTGATGCTATTGCATGGCAACAAAGATAGCCCCATACTTCAAACATTCCACAAGTGCAACTTCGAATATCAAGCTGCACAATATAATTTTTCAAAAAATAAATTACCTTAAACTTGTTGCCTCATTCCTAAGAAGCAAAATAGTTGCGGCTCAAAATATGTTGCTTCTTAATTTTCTTAATACTATTTCGGCAAAATGCACGAGAAAATTTATTGATTCCTGCCTGCTTCACTTGAATCCTTACCATCAAATTATGTTGAATCCATTCGAACATTTCGATAATCGAAAAGTCTCTAGCATCCATAATGTAATGGTTGAAGGATTCACACGTATTGTTGACCAACACATCACTTTTTGTCAGTGTAGAGAAAAAGGCACGCGATCAATGGTATTGTGACACTTCACTTGACCATACATATGCCGTTTCCCCATCCCATTTATTAAATGAAACTTTCGTATTTCACTCAAAACCGTATCGTGCTCATTCATATTGTAAAGGGAGGTTGCTTTCCAGAACAATATTTTAAATTCTAGTCCCTTGAACTGTGTCTTAAATTTATTGTATATATGCCGAATACAAAATCTATGCTCCGCCCGTGGGGCGCGAACAACTACTGCCTCAACTAGTCCTTTTTGTCTATCTGATATAAAAGCTCATTTCCCATTTCTCCGATCTCCTAAATCCCTCATAAGCCGCTTAAGAAACCAGTCTCATGTCTCGAACTTCTCAATCTTAACAAAAGCAAAGGCAATTGGATAAATATAGGGTCTCTCCCAATGGTTGTAAGAAGTTGACCCTTGTTGATACCCTTCAAAAAACAATTTCTAACCCTATGATTTCCCTAAATCTATGCAAAAAACCATCCCTTAAACCCGCCAAGCAATAATACATCATTCTCAACACCGGTGGATTTCTTTCACGATCAACATCGAGTATACAGTTACTACCCTCATTGTACTTGCATATTGTGGCACAGTAGCCATATAATCTTGTAAATTGCTCTTTGGTATTGCCCTTGATAAACTCAAATGCATATTTTTGGCATAATAGATTTTATACAGACTCACATCCACACGCACATCTCACTTAATCTTTTTCTTCAATGCAAGAAGGCTTATATCTGGGTTGTCACTCACCATATATTTTATTCTAGTCCCTAAGTATTTGTAATCCGCTTGCGTATTTACAATTTGATGTGCACAATTGTGAGCCCTAAGACGCATGTAATCTCTACAGGCAGCCCTTCTTGCACATAACAATTACTTCTGTCCGTTCATTCTTTACGAACAAAAGATCTCATCCATTTTGTACAACCCAATCCTGTAATACTTTCTTATACTTTTTGCGGTTTTCAAACTTCAAACCCACTTTCAAATTCATGCAATCGAAATCTGTGTCCTTATCCCATTCATGATACGTAGGGACTCCTCTATTATCCGAACCTTTGGGCGTTTGAAGACCGGCATTTTCCTTGCTATCGACATCACTATACCACAAATCAACAATGTTGTCTTCACCTTTGCTCCGACCACATGTACCAAATCTTTTGGAATTGACCATGAGTTTTTCATACCCTTACCCTATCATCCTCATTGTAATATATCCAAATTGGCTCATCGACACCTAGATTTTCCAATAATTTCATCTTTTTCAAATCCTTCATACTGAATTTCAACGTCATAGTCCCTTTCAGTTTGTATATCCCCTGAAATGCCTTCATTTTCTTTCATCATTTCGACGTAGATATTTTGGTTCATTGATTCAAGAACACAATGATAAGGTAATAAATAACCTGCACATGTACCAATAATATATTATAAATCAATAATTTATAAATAAAATATAAAAAAACAAGAATATATAAAAATTTCAATGACCGGAACAAAAAAAAAAAAGAAATCAAGGTGACCTCCGTGGAACTTATCAAATAGGAAATAAAAAAAGAATCTCAACCTCGAGTGCAGACAAATCTCTACCCAACAATTACCTAAAATTATTGAAAATATTATGATATATAAAACAACTCTCAGAAGAGAAACAAAAAACATCCAATGTGAAACAGCCCTAAAACACCAAAGAAAAATTATTTTTCAATGAATGGTTTTCTTCCACTTTGGAGAACAAATTTGACAACCTTCTTGGGTACCACCTAACCGAAATATATAAATAGATATCGCTCTAAATAGAAGCTATAGTTTCATTGAGGACAAGATTTATAACTTGCCAAAACACGAAGCGGCCGGACGATGTTGGGGAATCACTCCGTTGTAGCTTGGAGAGAACTATGGTGTGTCTCGTGTTCGGAATATGAGACTCAATTTCTATTTATAAGAAAAATATGAAGGGCACAATAGTTTTGGGTGGGGAGGAAACAAAAGTTTAAGAAATATTGAAATATTTTGGATGGGAGAGAAAAAAATTTTAAAGGTAAAATGGTCAAATATATATTCAATTTGACGGTGTTAATTATATTTAAAGAAAATGAAGAGTATGTTGTATTTTTAATAACATAGGGAAAGTAATGCAATTTTACAATCATAAGGTGGATTGACGCTAATTTTTTAAATCATAGGTAAGTTGGGTGCAATTTTGCCTATAAAAAATAATATTGTGATTGAATTATTGACTTTTGTGATTATATATGTTAAGTCTTTTAAAATTTTATAATAGATTAAGAAATGACAATATTTTATTACTTAGTAGAAGTTTTTACAAATTTTTTTGACATTTTTATCCTATGTATAAAAGTAATTGTTTGTGTAATTGTATATTTATAATTTAAGTAAAAATTAAAGGTATTTTGATATTGGCGTATACTTTGAACTGAGTCAGGAAAATAGTAAAATTGATACTTAAAATTATAATGATAAAGTATATTATATATTGTGTTAATATATTAATTATAATTTTATAATATTTATGTAAATTTGTGTCATCCAAAATTTTTGTAATTTAATAATATTTTACTCTTTATATATTATACATGCATCAATTTTATATTAGAACATAAATTTATTATGGATATACCGTAAAAATAAATGGGAAAACATAAAGCGCAACAATCCGGAAAATTGATTGCAACGGTGTTTGGCAGTGAGTGAGAGAGAGAGAGAGAGCATTGAATTGAAGAAAGAGTTAATTGAAACGGTGTTGGCGTTGGTGTTGGGTAGTGAGCGAGCGTTGAGGAGACTAGCGTAGAGTAGAGTAGAACTAGAGCAGAGAGATATCATATACTACTAGTAAGTATATATAGCGGCGCATCCTATCCAGAGGCCGCGTAGCGTATCATAGCGTATCGTACTGCGCTGTGAAAACGTGAAAAATAAAACCCCGTTGAGAAGAGGAAGGAAAGCAGAAAGGAAGGAAGGAAGGAAGGAAGCTGCTCTCACCTTCCCCATTCTTCCAGAATTCACCCTCCAGACTCTCTTTGTGCCTGTGCCGTACCGATTCTCTTCTCTTCCTCATCGTCCAGGTCTCTCTCTCTCTCTCTCTCTCTCTCTCTCATCTCGTCCTGCGATCTCATTCTGCGTTCCCCTTTTTATGCTTCTTTTCTTTATTTTAATTTTTAATTTTGATTGAATTATTTATTGAGTCGCAAATTAAGCAGAAGCAGAATGAGTGAATCATCTCCAAGTTTGGAAGTTGTCCAGTTTAGTTTTTGCTGCATTGATTGATTTCAATATAATTCTTCTAAATTGCTTGCAAAAACATCATCATCATCATCATCCCGTTCGTCATTCTCGGACCCTCATGTATAACAACAAACAGGAAACTGACTCAAACTTGTGCTATCACTAAAATTAGGAAAAGTAGACCATATAAACCTTTGGAAGAACTACCATTACCTTGTTTGCAAGTTGCTGCTTTAGATTATAAGTAGGCTTAGGCTGCTGCTTAGTTAATTATGAATTTATGATTCCTTCCATTCCATTCCATTCCCCATTTTAGTTTTTTTTCAACCTGAATTGGATGGAATCTGATCCATGGTTGTTTGCTTCCAATGCTACAATAGCCAAATGGAACGGCACCGTCCCCTGACTCTACCAAGACTGATCCGTGGCATCCTCTGCATAATCACATTGATCTTAACAGCATTCGTGCTCTTGATCTTTTTTGGATTCTGGACAGCTGTTGTCCTGAGGTTTTTCAGCCTACATCTCAGCAGGAAGCTGACGGCCTTCTTCTTTGGGAGATGGATTGCTCTGTGGCCATTCCTATTTGAGAAGATAAATAAGACTAAAGTGATCTTTTCCGGAGAACAGGTTGGTCCTCAAGAGCGCGTGTTGCTTATCGCAAACCATAGAACTGAAGTTGACTGGATGTACTTGTGGGACCTTGCATTGCGGAAGAAATCCGAGGGTTGCATCAAGTATATCCTCAAGAATAGTTTGATGAAGCTGCCTGTATTTGGTTGGGTTTTTCACATAATGGAGTTTATTCCCGTTGCTCGAAAATGGGAAGAGGATGAGTTGAAAATGCGTAGCTTGCTCAAGTCTTTTGGAGACTTCCGGGATCCTTTGTGGCTCGCTATTTTTCCCGAAGGCACTGATTTCACGTAAGTTGGGATTGAAATTTTCCATCTTGGATGAATGTAGGTAGAAAAGCTTAAATGTGGCTAGAACTTGTTTGCGCTTTCTTTTTGTTTTTTTTTTTTTTTGTTTTTTGCTTGTGAAAGATTCCTTTTTTATTTTAGTCTCACTAAAAGATTTATAGGGGAAGTGACATATTTAATCCAATAAGACATTTGGTTCTCAAGATCAATGAAGTTTACTAACATTGCATTAGATTAATATGAACTTCATTAGAGAATTATGTGATGATATTTGACAATGCATGAACGTATTCTATCAAGTTTGATGACCCGAAGATCTTGTGCTTGAGTTTCTTTAAATAAAAGTTTTTGTTAATAGAAAAAATCCACGAAAAACAAAGATGTATGTTTTTGTAGGCTAGAGTTGAAATGAAAGGATCAAACAAGCATTGTTAACCTTGACTGTTTTTGGCGATATTATGCAGAGAAGAGAAGTGTTTACGCAGTAAAAAATACGCATCTAAAAATGGGCTGCCTTTGCTAAATAATGTGCTTCTTCCGAAGACAAAAGGCTTTTATGCATGTTTGGAAACGTTGCGGGGCTCATTGGATGCAGGTTCTTTTCATCTCCCTATTTCTTTTTATTGATGCTCGTTTTTACATGAATTGCCTAACTCCACTCGACTCTATCATAACACAAAGATCCAATCAAAGGCATGAAGAATGCATTGCATAAAAACATGACTTTATTTCATCAAGAGAATGATTACTAATTTTGTGATCAACAGTATAATATTCTGCTATCAAAATTGGCTAGCCTCTGTTTAGCAGTTTTGACACAGAACTCAAATTCATTATAAGAGCCTTGCTACATTGATGTTTCTTTTTCTTTATTCATGCTATAGTAGAGTGAAAAAGATTGACGGGGTCGTATCATTATAAATACATGAATACATACCTTCGATGAGTTTAGTCTCTATGTTTGCGTGTATTCTTGAGCCTTAGGCCTCATTTAAAGCATAAAGACTTTTTAATCCTATATAATAACCAAGGCCTAAAGCTATCCTATTTGAACCTTGTCTTTCCTGTAGCTGTACTAAGGGTTGCCTGCTTATCGGGTAATTGATGTTTGTAAGTGAAATTGACAACTATCCTACCGTCAATTCATGCTGGTGTGCGATGTTGGTAGGCTTGCTTAGTGTAGGATAATCTAAAACCTAATGTACCAGACCTTTGCAAGTTGTTAGTTTAATTCTTGCCAAGTTCCAAGACATTTTGTGCCTAACTTGTCATGACTTTTGGGGTGTCGAATGATATTTCTAAAGTAAACTCCCTAAAATTTGAAACAATAAGTTGCTTTGAAGATCTTAAGTTATGAGATGGCACCACCCTAAAATTGACTTCATTCCAATATTTCTATTCTATGTGCAGTTTACGACGTAACAATTGGGTACAAGCACCGGTGCCCCTCGTTCCTAGACAATGCCTTCGGCATAGACCCCTCGGAAGTTCACATCCACATTCGCCGTATTTCCCTGAACAACATTCCAACATCTGAAGACCAAGTATCAACTTGGTTGATAAATACATTTGAGACGAAGGACCGACTGCTGTCGGAATTTTACTCGGGAGGTCACTTCCCTAGTGAAGGTACTGAGGCTGACCTTAGTATGGCTGAGTGTGTACTAAACTTCTTATTTGTCATGACCATAACCTGTGCATGTACATATCTCACCCTTTTCTCCTCAATCTTCAGAATTTATGTTTCTCTAGCCTGTTCTTACATGGTAACCGCGACGTATTTCGATATTCGCCCTTCTCCTATTCCTATTTTTGGTCCATAAATTGCTGGACTCAACCTTATTTATCTTCTAACATTTGTACTATCTATGGACGGTATAATATCTCTCTCTATATCTGTGTTTATTTCCTTCAGTAGTTTATGTTGTAATAGAACTGTTGTTAACTCATTCAGCTTACCTTCAGCTAGAAACTATAAATAAAAATAAATGTTGTTAAAGCAATAGAACTTCTTCTTCCTCTTTCCTTATTATTCTTAGTACTTATTTTTTAAAACTATATGTATGACCTGATTAAGACATATTAGAAAGTGGACATGGCCAAAAGGGCAAAGGTGCAGATAATTCATTAACACACTTTCGGCTACTAACTAACAGATATTAATCACTGCATGAAACCTATTCAACCTATCAATATTCATCTCCTCCAAAGCAAAAAAGAGAGACTTTTCACCAACTAATAAAATAAAGTATGTCACTGTTTCCAGAAATTCATACCAGTATACACAACAATCTATCGACACCCTAAAAGAATAAATGAATTAAAAGGCTTACTTAGTTTGCAATAACAACACCAACAATAATAATATGTACTGAAATTTCAACCACAAGGGATTTGATGATGAAGAATGCAGAAATCTGAGGAGATGAAGTTGAGGAGAGATTCATACTTGATCACTGACTGCTTCAATGGTTGGGATTTTGTTTTATGATCCTCTGAAGAATAACAGTTCTCGCCCTGCGAATATCCCTGCTGCAGTTGTCGGCTTGGGCTCCTAACTCCTCGATGTTCTTCATGAACATATCCAGTTTCTTCTTGATTTCTTCCACACCGAGCTTGACGGCTTCTTCGTTTATGGCAAAATCAGCATTCTGCAAGAGGCCTTCAATCTCAATCTCCAATCGATCAATCAAAACTCGGATGTTGTCCAAGTCTTTGATGGTGACATAAGTCCCCACATTCATACAGTTGATTATCTCCTTATGTCCCTTCACAGCATTCTCATAGTTCTTGAGAAGTGAATCTATCCATTTCCCCATGGACCCCAGTGGAATCGAGGCTGCAGCCGCAAGGGCAGCAGCCACAGGTGGTGCAGCCATGGCGGCAGCCACCACCGAGCATATCAGGACAGCTGCAAAAGTGGCTGCAAAGATGATGCTGGATACCTTTCTCCAGGCATTGATGTATTTCAGCTTCTTATCAAGCTTGGTTTTCTTTAATTGTAGCCTTTCCAGCATCAAGATTTGCTGCATGTAAACAGATTGGAAAATCAGGAAGAACTCCTTGGTGAAGGGATCCCCGGCATCCCTGAAATTCTTCATTTCTTCCAATGTTTTTGAATACTTGTCGTTCCCTTCCACCCCATTGTTATCTTCCTCCACAAATTGCTGAAGCGCGACATGGATAAGCAGCTGGCTGTCCCGAGCGCGCTTCAAGCATTTTTCCAATGCTGCACAGAAATCCAGAGTTTTGAGACTGTTCTCAAAGTAGTCCTCAACTAGCTCGAACAATTCCTGATTCTTCCATATGTCCTTCTTGCAGTCCAGAATCACCTTCACCACTTCTTGATTCATTTCCAGGAGGCATCCGGTGACTTCCCTCAGGGAATCAAAGGACACTGCCCGAACTTCGACTCCTGCAGCTAAGGCATTGATGACATTGTTTGTTCGCACTTGGAGCGTCGTGTCAAACGACTGCAGATCCATGTCAACCATGCAGGCAGCCGCGTAGGAATTCAATTCCGTTGCAAACTGAAGTTTGTTTACGGGTTTGGCACCTGAGTTTTCATCAGGTTTCTTGCTTATGTGGCTTCCCATGGTTTCCGATTCAATCTGCAGAGAAAGTTTCCCAAACAGAATTTGTAAAGCCTACCTGCAATTTTTCTATTTCTTCACACAAGACAAAGATGTTTCTTCAAAGCAACAAAGATATTTTTTAGGTTAAAACAAATCTAACTCCACGCTTCAATCCACTATATTGCAATTCCATACCACAAAATGATTCTATAAGTGGCAGCAAATTTTCAATCCGAAAACTGATAATTAAGAGATTTCCAGTATATAAATAACAATACTATACGCAGCGAACTCCAAAAAAGCAAGAAAAGAAATTTCCATTCCAGGACCAAATACACACACAATTGCAATCACTTTTCAACTCAACAAGTAAAAATTAATCAAACAGAATGGCCGAGCAGCAGCACATAAACGAATTACTCACCTCGTAGACTGCAGAAACTTGTATCCTCAAACCAGACAGGCAAGCCGTGGATACAGAAACCGATCGCAACGCAAATAGTGAATAATTAATATAAGCAGCACAATTCCGTCATAAGTAGTGAAAAAGGCGAATCCGTTGATGGAGAAAGGAAAGCGATGCTGCGTAGATATATATATATATATATATATAGAAACACCGATAATGGATTGAGGAACGGCAAAGCTTGAGGAGAATGAATTTAATCAAAACCGTTACGGCGGACGAGAGCTAAATTGTGGTGGCGGTGGAGAGGCAAATTGAAGAAATAACTAGCTTGCACGCATTACCAACAATGGCGGAAGAGAGAGAGAGAGCACGCGCGCCAACACACACAAACACATATAATATAAATATATATATATATATATGTGGATAAAAGACGCGGGAAACGCAGTGAAATGCAATGGAATGAATGTTGTAGCAGAGTAGAGTAGAGTAGAGCTGAATGAGGCGTAAAGAAAGAAGGGCGGCTTTCAAGTGTTGTAGGCCTTAGCAATACCATCAGGTCAAGAACTCCATCCTAATCCTTCCTTCCTTCCTTCCTCCCTTCCTCCCCATGCTTCTGCCCGAAGCAACTCGCATATGCATATCCACATACATGTATATATGTCTGTATCTGCGTACGCTGTCCAAATTCCCATTATGCCCTCGTTTTAAAGGATAAACAAACAAATATATATACTTTCAAATTTTTATTCTCAATATCAAAATATTACTCCATCCGTCCAATTTTTATTGTCCTAAACTATATTTACACGATTTTTTAGGTGATTGTCTTTTTGTTAATTTGTCCTTAATTGTATGGTAGAGACTAAGGGTGTGTTTGTTTGGGGGTTTGGATTTTGAATTGAGATTTGAATAGTAAAAATTTTGAATTTGAATAGTTGTATGATGTGATATAAATAGGTGTTGATGTGATGTCTTGAATATAAAATTAATTTTTAGTATAATATAAAAAATAAAAAATAGGTGTTTTGATTGGATGTTTTTGGGGAAAAAATTGGATAAATAGTGTAAATCCAATCCAATCCCCCAAACAAACACGCCCTAAAAGTAATAAATGAATGAAAGGTAAAAATGTAAAATTTGTATTTAAAAAAAAGAAATAGGACAATAGTTGTTGTACGTCCCAAATAGACAATAGTTGTTGGACGTTCCAAATAGAAAAATAGGACATTAGTTTGTGAACGAAGGAAATACTATTTGAATTATAATTCAATCAAAATTTCGATTTCTAATATAAAAACCAAACAAATTCTTAGGATTTGTTTTTCCAAATTTTTTTCTATATGATTTTCAATATATGTATTTTATTATCACATAAAAATCAACATAAAATATTATTTTTGTGAGGTTGTTGAAAAGTAATTGTTTTTTTACGTTAAGAATAAGAATCTTGTAGGAAATATAAAAATAGTGAATATGTATGATGTACTAATTTTTTTTTTAAATAGTGAACAAAACCCTAGTATTTTAGGAATAATGAAATTCTTTTGTTCGTGGGTTTTGAGTTTGGATTTATGAATAGTAAAAAATTAAATTTGAATAGTTGTTTTGTGTGATATAAATAAATTTTGATGCGATGTTTTGAATGTAAAATAAATTTGTAGTATAATATAAAAAAAAATTGTTTAATTTGATATTTTTGGAAGAAAAAAAATCTGAATAAGTTTTAAAATCCATGAAAGACCACAACATTATTGTAAATTATTGATAATGGAGTTAAAAGAGCTATGATTTTATTTTGATAAATTAGTTTTTATTATTTTTTAAATATTTAATGAAAAACTATAATATATTTTTTATTATAAAATATATGAGTAATTTTTTATTGTAAATTATGTAATGTATAAAAGAATAAACTCGAATTCTTTAAAATTCCTAATTGTTATATAAACTGGGATGTGTTTAGTTACCAAATGGATTATTAAGTTCAAATTAAGTTGAAAATGATTTATTAATTAATATTTAATTTATTACGTAATACATATAATATTATAAAAATTTAAAATATGTATTTAATTATTTAATAATTCTATTTTGATAACGTATAGACATTATATGATTCTTTTGTAATAAATGTAGGGTTTGTCAGCTCATTTAAAATTTCTAATGTTGTATGTTCATAACTAGCGTGTGCTATATGATAATATATTACGTGATAAAATTAATTGTTATATGCTTAATAAGAATATATCATATATTGTTAGTTGCACGTGTTGTATTTATATTATATTAATGCATATTGTGTGTTGTCTGTGGTTATATCGTATGATGCCCGTCAGCATACGGTGTGCTATTGTAAACGCAAGACTGTAGTCGCGGACATTCTCTATACTTTATAAATTTAAATACTATAAACAAACAAACTCATATGTTCTTGCTTTATTTGGTTGTTCTCTATAAATGTATCAACTTTATTTTTGTATATGCTTATTATAAATGATATGTTTAAGGTTTGTTTGTTTGAGGATTTGGATTTTAGATTTTTTATTTGAATAGTAAAATTTTTTAATTGAAGTAATTATATGATGTTATATATATAAAAAAATATTAATGAGATATTTTGAATGTAAAATTAAAAATTAATATAAAAAATAAAAATAAGAGATATGATTTTATATTTTAAAAGAAAAAAAATAATAAATAATAGAAATTAGATAATATTTTAATAAAAGAACACATCCTTGTAATTCAACATATTTAAAACAATGGTAAATTATATAACACATTGTGTTTTATTTACTGTGTAAAACTTGTTTGTATTAATGTAAAGTTCGCACGAAACACACTTATCATCCAAAAGTTATATTTGATTGTAAATATGAACACAACAATGCAAGTTTTATACAAATAAATAAAAGAAATAAAATATTTTAAATAATTTTTTTCAATAAAATAAATAAAGAAATAATTGATTCATGTTTCCTTTTATAATTTTTCGGAGTTAAATTATTATCTGATTTTCCAAAAAACTATAAAAATAAATTATTGATCAATTATTTATTTATTTATTTCATTCAAAAAATTATTTAAGATATTTTATCTCTTTTTTTTATATATATAAAATTTGTGTAATGTCTTTATTCAAAATTAAACATCAGCTTTGGATAATGTAAGTGTTTTGTGCAAATTTAAATTAACACAAGAAATTTGAAACAATAAATAAAGTATAGAATATTTTATACATTTTTATAAAATATAAAAAAATATTATATAATTTACCATTAAAACAATACCACTTAATAAATCTTTTAAAAATAATCATAAGTCACATGCTATTTTTGTCTTTGCATTTAACTTAAATACCTATATATATATATATATAAAGTATTAATAATTCTCGAAGTATGTGTAAAAAATAAACAATTACTTTATTTTCAAATGAAGGTATTATAAATCAAGGTAGAATGTAAATATTGGAGAAAATCAGTCTCAACCTCAACCAGTTCATTCTCTTTTTTATTCTCAATCTTCCTACCCTAACTAAAGATTGAGATCTTATATATACTAACCCCGGGACCAAGGGCACATAAGTATATTATTAAGACTAAAAGTATAATACTTTGGCCCCAAATTACGTAAATCAAACATGAAAGATTGGCTCTACATGTCAACAAAAGTTATTCTAGCACGTTTTGTCTTAATTTAGTTGCATTTTAGGAGACTTAGAGTCACCCTGCTTAATTTTAGAATTTTTTTCAAGTGAACTCTTAAAAAAAAAAAGAAAAAACATAATATTGACATGAGTTATATATAATCAATCTTCTTAAATTCAATTCTAACTCCAGGGATAACACATTCTCTCGTAAATAAGAATGCAATGTACATTGCACCCAAAAAATCGTTAACTGCTAAACCTATCAACAATTCACTCAAGGAATATAGGTTGTGGTGGTCCCGTAAAGGATGATCTAATAATGTGGGGGTGGACTTATGACCATTAGGTCATGGGTTCAAATCCCCGATGTCTCCAGGTCATTTGTCACACATAGTTCGCCTAGTGTGACTTGCCTGTCGGACTTAGTTTGCAGGGTATTAGGTTCGGCCGGAGATTTACCTAGTACACACAGTAACATTCCGGCCTACAAGCTACGCAAGCCAGACATTATTTAGATTCTTTCAAGTGAGCTTTCGAAAAAAAATATGCACGTTATAGACATGAGTAGTCTAACAATCATTTTAAACTCAATTCAACCCAACTCAACTTCGGGGATACCAAAAAGAAAAAATAAATAAATGCTTATAAAATAAAATTTCAAGACAAATTTACAATTAATCCAAAGTTGATGTGTTTGCCCCGTGAGTATATACCCAAAGTAGGATAGACTCGTCTTTAACAATTTTTGCCTCTTTAAAAATAGCATTGTCCACAAGGCTTAAATTTGGAATTTGGCTTTGGAGTTCGTCAACATCGAGCCAAGAGGCATCATTCGGAGATAAGCCACACTACATGATCAACATTCGGTCCACTACCAAGTGGTCGTTTTGAAGAGAGCAGCAACCCAAAGCTTTCTTAGGTTCAAAGAATGTTTTTTATGTGACCTCGAGTGATGTTGGTAGTTCGGTTTTCACTGAATGCTCTTCAACTACTCGTTTGAGCTGCGAAACATGGAAACACTCGGTGAATCCTAATTGTATTTGAAAGTTGAAGTTTATATGCAGTTGGACCAGTACGTTGAAAAACATAAAAAGGTCCAATGTAATGAGTAGTCAGCTTGTGATGCCTTGTTGTACGCAAGAAATTTTGAATGAAGTTATAACTTCAGGAAAATTTTATCACCTACTTGAAACTCAACATTGCAATGGTGGCTCTTCGTGCAGCGCCACATGCGGTCGTGAGCTCACTCAAGGTTGTGTCGTAGAAGTTGAATCATGTATCTCGTTCTCCTAGCATGACAACAAAAACCTCAATTCAACAAATGATGAAGGCATGGCATGAGCCAACCATATACTGCTTCAAACAAAGTGAGTTTGGAGGCTTGAAATCGTCAGTTTAAGAATTACCCAGTTTATTCAGTTTAGCAAATTATAATTCAAAACGTGTCTAATCAGTATTATTATTATTTTATGTATAATAAAACTCAAATTTAAATTATTTGCAAACAAATCCTTATCCTTATTTATTTTTTTATACGAAATTCACAAATTCAACTATTGTATTTTAATCTCTCTCTAATCCCCTCAAAAATTTCTCTCTTGCGATACCGACGACGCTAAACGCCCCGCGAGGCCGTGGTTTCTTTCCGTCGTTCCGGTCCTCTTATCTCTCCCCCGCACTTCTTCCCACTCTCTTCCTTTTCCCTAGAATAAATCAAAAGCGGAGACAAACAGACAAATTCGTCGCAGTTGAAAATAATTAGGGCAAACTTCCCAATTTTGCAACTGTCCACCGTCGCCATTGTATCTGTCACCACCGCCGCTCAACTATCACAGTCCGATTCAATGGAGAAATCCCAAAAATTGAGAAGGTAAATCTTTTTCTTTCATTTCTCACTTCGCCTCTTCTCAAATATTTCAAATTTTTGTGAATTTTTATTGTTTATGCAATATTGTAGCATATTATTGGAAAAAATGCAATAAATTAGTTTTGTTTGGATTTGAACTAAATTTATTTAGAATTTTAATCGACTGTGTACTTGCCAGCTAATTTTAATTATTTGAGGTGAAATTTTTATTTTATTTTATTTTGTTTTATTTGTATTTATTTAATGAAAGTTATATCTACCAACTTAGTTTGAATGCTTTTAGAGATGAAAAAAGACTTCTATTTATGTATGCTTGTATAGTGATTGTTTAAAAAATTGTCACTCTTTAAAGAGGAGGCCGGCTACTACTGCATAGATATCAATTGCATAATCTCGTATGATAAAAAAAAAGTTTTTTTTCTCAAGTATTATAGCTTATTATTAAATAATATGCTTATAATTTTCTCTTTCAAATCCTCTTATTTAAATTTTCTTCTATGTTCATATACGCATTGACCTCCTCGATGAATAAGGAGGAGCTTTGTACATGTGGTTTGCCAGTAAGAAGATGAACTTCATATATAGAACACAATCTTGAAAGGAAATTTGCACGTTGTCCAAATTGGGGTACAAAAGATGATTGCCATTTTTACAAGTGGGAAGACACTTATGTAGAGATATTGAAGTTAGTAAAGATGGTAAAGGGATTCGAGAAGGAAGTGAATGGATTGAAGAAGGAATTGGAGAAGCAAGTGAACAAGTCCAAGGTCACGGAAAAAAAAAAGTGAAAGAATGGCAAAAGGAATTGGAAAGGCAATTAAAAAAAAGAGTGAAGTGAAGCGCCAAAGAAAATGGTTGTTTCAGTTGGCGGTTGTTTTCATTGTTATGCGAATGTGGTTTTATTGTTATGTAGTTGATGTGTATTTGTAGTGTTTGTAAGCTCTTCATTGACTTCCCAAGCTGATGATTATTATGGTAGCTTATTACGATTGAAGAAAATTTATTATTATGTTTTATTTTGTAGTAATAATTGTCTTTGGTGTATGTATGTATGATTTTCTTTGTATGTTATTATGTTTGATGTATAGGAGATATTGTATGGTTTCCTATGTGTATATTTTTCTTTGTATGAATTTATTTGTTGTGTTTAAGGATAAGGACATATTGTATGGTTTTCTTGGTGTATGATTTCTCTGTATGAATTTAGTTGTTATGTTTGATGCTTACGAGATATTGTATATTTTTTTTTTCTTTTTTGTGTATGATTTTTTGGGTATGAATTTGGTTGTTATGCTGATGCTTAGGAGATATTGTATAATTCTTTTTGTATGGATTTAGTTATGTTTGATACTTATAATGCTTAGGAGATAATGTATGATTTTTTTTGTGTATTGTTTTTTGTTGTACAAATTTAGTTGTTATATTTTTTTGGTATTAATTTAGTTGTTATGTTTTGAGGTATGTTTTTTTGTGTCTGAGGCTAAAGGCAGTGAGAACATATATGTTGGTACAGGAAACAAACGCAGAAGCAAACAAAAATACAAAAAACTAAAATTATATTTCCCTGGTATATGGTGTTTTTTTTTTTTTTTTTGTTTCTGTTATGCCTAAAACATAATTAAAAATATATTGCAACAATGAACAAACACAGCAGCACAAATATAGAAAATCAGAAATATGATGTTGTATAGAACAAAACACAAACACAACAGCACATCCATCTTGCAACATGATTTTTGCCACTCACAACTTAAAAAAAAAAATAATAATAAAAACCATAACTAAAGCAAAACAAAATTATTTTATCAAACCTGCAATTAAAAAAAAATAACAATCATAACTAAAGCATTTAACATACAACACATAATTTTTTATCAAATCTGCAGTAAACAAATTTTACAAGGTTCAATGCCTTAACTAAAATAAACAAACCTAATTAAAGCAAAATAAGAATTGACATACATCAACAGCTCCAAAGCTAAGTAAAGTTCTATCAAACCTGCAGAAAACAAATTTAGTAATAATATTAATACAATTCTCAATCTTACAAACTACTTAATTAAACCTCATCTCTAGCATACCTAAAAGGGATCCTTATAGTCGAGGAAGGTACAATCTATCTTTGCCAATTCACTTCTTTCACCACTAATTCTGGTTGATTGAACCTAAATATATACTCGTTAGAAAATTTAAATGAAAAAGTAAGACAGTAATTCATTGCAATGTAAAATGCACATCATCATAATAAAAAATACCTCAAGCAATTCCGTAAACTTCATTGAATGAGATTGTATATTTGATATTGAATTCGAAATTGGGATCTAAATAGAGAAAAGTAAATTGAAAAAAATACACGAAATTAAATCTAAACTATTATAAATAAAATATGAGCAAAATAACATTTAAAAAAAATAACATGCTCTTGAGGAATTTGATAAGACTGCGATGCCATGTCGCTGGGTACTCGATACTGCTCTTTAATACTTGACAACATAGTAAATAAATATCTAATAAATTTTGTATGAATAAAGAAATTTATAATGTAGTAACAAGTTCGCACCTGAGTCTCAGCTAAACATTTATTTCTTCGAACTTTGGTTTGTTTCTTTTTTCTTGAGTTTCTTTCTAATCCACTTTTTGGTCCTTTACCTGAACGAATTATGTCTTTCACATAAATATTGTCTTCTTTGCTCGCACCAGCATTATCAATCCCCGTCATAGATGACCCCTCATAATGCTCTTTTCGGCTATGTATTTTTTCATTCACTTTTTCAGTAGCCTTTAACAGTATATCTCTGGAAAATTCATAAGATTCTTTACTTTCTGAAGCTATTGTTGCCAGTTTGTTGCATAACAGACTCAGATTCTTATAGCGTAAGCTTAATTGTTCTTTTGGGTCATCCACTCCGTGATCCTCGCCGTGTATTCCACTAGGAAAAACACCTACCCTCGCATTTTTTGTCCATCTCTTCATTATATATTGATCCAGAATCTTCAAAATATCATTTTTGGTGAGGATTTTCAGTCCATAAGAGCATAATATTCCAGAATAATCAAATTTCTTACAGATGCACGCAACTGTCCCATCTGATGAATTCTATTTGAAAACATGATACCTCAAACTCTCAAGATAACTAACCCGATATTTTGTAACAGTTTCATGTGTTCTAATAACAGCTCCAAGACAATCATAAGCTTTCCCCAATTCCTTTTGAAATATTTTAAACTTATGGGGTATAAAAATTCGTTGCATGTTTCAAGAGTTGAATTGGCAGTGGAAGCACATGCGCACTGGTACTTGCTTTGAAATCGGCCTGCAACTGGGCATAACGACGAGATTCGATCAAATTTTCAAACTTTTCAAAAATGACCCTCAAGTTGTTCTCCGAACTAACATATCTTTTAATGACACTATTAATACTTTCACTCCGTTGTGTCATCGTAATATCAGCACAAAAGAATTGACGATCATAAACCAAAGCCCATTTTTCTTTCACTTTGAATAATTTTCTCAACCAACCATTTTCCACCAAATTATACCTCACCAGCATTTCACTTCATTCATGCAAAAAGTCTTCCTCTTCGTCAAAATCGTAAATACATCTTATAAAATAATGTGCAAAGGTTTTATGTTCGGCAAACATATCACCCAAATGTATGGCAGCATTTTGATATATATACCAAATACATAACCTACAAAACAGAACGGTGGAGGAATATAATTATTCTACAAAAAATTATATATTATGGAAAATCACTACTTAAATATATTGAACTATTTATACGTAATAGAAAACCTGTGATGAGTCTCAGGCCATCTCGAAGCCAATGCATTTGCCATAGCTTGATCTTGATATGTCAATATCGTAATTGGTTTTCTTCCGTACATAGTGCTGGAAAAAGTGTCAAACAACCACTGAAATGAGGGAATAGTATTGTCGTATAGAATTGCTGCGCCAAAAACCACTGTTTGTCTGTGGTGATTAACACCAACAAACAAGGCTAACGGATGATTTTCTCTAATCTTTATGTACGTAGTATCGAAAGAAACTACGTCTCCAAAATCAACATAATCTTCTCTTATCCTCCCATCAATCCAAAATATATTTGTAATCATACCATCTTCATCCACTTGAATAGAATACAAAGAATTTGAGTCTCTACTTTGTATCCCTTGCAAATACTCTAACACCCCCCAGTGTCTCCAACCTCCATGTACTTTGTTCTCTTAGATCGTAAGTAATTATTAATGTCTTGCCTGGTAAATCCTAAACTCTCTTGGCTACCAGCTTCTTTAACCATTAAATCATGTGAAACTTTTGGAGCAAGTACTATATGTTCGGCTAATCAATCTGGGCTGTATGAACATCATCTATTTTCCTATGCGACCGAAAAAAATGAGTCTTCTGAGGGCTGGTGAGCTGATGAGTGTGTTCAGCTATAAACTCAAATACTTCGTATTTTTCATTATCTTTCAATTGAAATCTCATCATTGCTTTGCACCCGAATCTTGTTATTGCTCGTGGAGCTCTGACATTGATATTTCGTTTATCCTCCCCCCTTACACCTTCGACACTGAAAGAAAACATTCTAACTTTAATCTTTCCTGCTCGATTTCTTTGCATTTTGTGTCTTTTCATGCCAAAACCTGTTTTCTTAGCATAAGCTAAATAAAACTGATAAGCGTCTTCTTCATTGTCAAACTCCACTCCAATTTTAGGTTTGTCTTCGGAAGAGATGTGTTGATTATCGGATTGAACATCATTTTCCATAATGGTAGTAAAATCTAATCTACGTGAAGATGAAGACTTAATCAATATTGATTCATCATTCTCCATTACCTATCATATATATATATATATATAAACATTATAAGTGCAGTGAAAGACAAATTATTAAAAGAATTGGTTGAAATAAAAATAAAAACTAAATATAAATTTATATTTACCCAAAATTTATGCTGGATTCAGTTAGTAGAGATTTAGAAGTTGATGTTTCGGTGCCGTGTGTTATAAACCTACGAATAAATTTTCTAAATTTGAAGATAAATTATATTTCTACAATTTTTTTTAAAAAAAATTTAAAGATAAATTAGATTTCTAAAAATAATGATTAATAATGTTGGCGAGACTTCCAACCTGATGAGTTTACAAGTCCGCGGTGGCTTGGCAGTAGTGGTGGCTATCGGTCTTGAGGAAAACTTTGTCCGATGAGTCGAAGAAAATGCGACGAGGAAAAGAGTGGGGAAAAAGATAGGAGAATTGGAATATAGAGAAACAACGGCAGCGGCGGAGGCGGAAGAAGCGGTCGGTGTTCGGCGTTGTCTATATGGCGGATAAAAATAATTTTGGGTGGATTAGCGTGATGGAATGAAAAATTAGGTTAAATTATTAAATTTAGTATTAAAAGATAAATAAATAAGAAAACAACAAAGCATCTATGTGTTGGCTTTGGATTGATTAGACAATAAGGACTTGTTTGCAAATAATTTAAATTTGAGTTTTATTTTACATATAACAATAATAATACTGATCAGCCACGTATTGAATTTTAATTTATTAAACTGAATAAACTGGGTAACAATTGAACTGACGATTTCAAGCCGAGTTTGGATGGTGTTGATGTATTTTTTCAACAAACAAAGAGTAAAATTCAAAGATATGGAAAATATCCTTAAATTTAATTAATTAGCGTCTGAGATTAGGAATCTCTAAACACTGTACGGTACATAAGAAAATTAACTGGAAATAAAAATGCTGAAAATTTAAAGTGATGATCCCCGAATCTGACTTTCCTTTGTTGAAGTTGATTGAAGATAATTTCTCCAGAAAAATCGAAATCCTTAAATATCCCTTGAGAAACAGTATTGGAAACCGTCGCCCAAACGGTTACAACATCTCTTTTTTCAACCGTCTGCTTCTCTTGTTGACACGTGCCCTCAACCGACCAAAGTATCATTCTTACTTACTCTTAACAGTACCCGCCTCTTTGGACCGACCGCAAACCTTCCGCCCTTTTGGCCCGAACGCAACTCTTCCACCTTATTGGTCCGACTACCAACCTCCCGACTTGCAGACCACCCGACTTGTTTGGTCCAGCCGCAGACCTCCCGACCTACTAACCATCCGACTTGTTAGTCCAGCCGCAGACCTCCCGACCTAAAGACCATCCGACTTACTGGTCCAGCCGCAGACCTCCCAACTTAAAGACCATCCGACTTACTGGTCCAGCTGCAGACCTCCCGACTTAAAGACCATCCGACTTATTGGTCCAGCTGCAGACCTCCCGACTTAAGGACCATCCGTCCTGAGGACTTTCCAACCCGCGGACCTCCCGACCTGAGGACCTTCCGAACTGCGGACTTTCCGACCTAAGGACCTTCCGACATGCGGACTTTCCGTCTTGAGGACTTCCCGACTTGAAGACCTTCCGACCTGCGGACTTTCCGTCCTGAAGACTTTCCGACATGCGGACCTCCCGACCTGAGGACCTTCCGACGCGCTATTTCCTTAGAAATATATGTATTTTACCTGAGTTTCCCACGGTACCCCTCAACCAATTCGATCAACTTGATTGCTAGGCCCATTTTTCTTTTTTACCTTAGGCTTTTAACCTAATTATAAATTTCATACGTAACAACTTGCCTGCCGCCAAGGGACTTTTAAACGCCATTTCTCAATCGTCGTTTGGAAGTTCACAAATCACAACCCTACTAAGAAATCGCTTCTGCAACTGCATCAGTTACTGCAACACTCCTGATTCCACAAAACTTTCCTTTCTTCAATACGAGCCTTTGTGAATCATAATCTCTACAACTCTAACCATGGCGAATCGATACATCCCTGCACTCCCTGTCGACGGATCAATCCCTGAAACTACTCTCGTGTCGATGAAAATGCTCACTCCAACTATTCGTCCATATTGCACAAATGCTGAAGACTCCAACCGTATGAGAGAAGTCTTAGAGGCAAGAAATCTGCTGGCGATCAACAACCCCAACTACAACGCAACCCGCCTCTATGACAACATCAAAACGCACTTGACGGACCCCAAGGATCCATACCGCACCTGGTACCAAAGAGTAGCAGAACATTACCAGGGTCAATGGAAAATTCAACAAATCGATCAAGTCATATGTTTGTCAACTCTCCCATGTTCATTTACATGAGAAAGTCCTCCTGGCCATGGCGGCGTTTTGGCACCCTGAGGTTTGTACCTTCCTTCTTCCAACAGCCCCTATCGGCCCCACCCTCATGGATGTGGCCATGATCGCTCATCTGCCAATCGTTGGGGAAGACCCTGTAATGGGTGCCCTAGATGGGCAAGAGCCCAACTCAGACCACTTGGGCTGGTCTCTGACAGACGTGAAAGAATGGGGCTGGACTAAATTTCTAATCAACCAACAAGGAGCAGACGGGACCCCTGTAACCGACCGAGAACACACAGCCTTCCTGCTATTTTGGCTCTGTAAGTATGTAGTAGTTTCCCCTTCGAAATGTGTCCTCCCTTCTCATCTTGATCTTGCTATACACATAGCCTCGGGTCGGTTCTTTTCATTAGGCACCATTTTCCTTGCCAATCTCTTTGAAGGGCTATCCAGGGTCAGTGTCCGCCTTAAAGATGGTAAAAAATTAGACACTGTTGCGTCGGGTCCGTTTTGGTTCCTCGAACTATGGTTCCGTCTCTATTTTCCCGACGCCTTCCAACTTGGTCATCCTCCCATCACCCCCACACTTGAGAAGTCTCTAGGAGTAGCCATGAACCGACTTTGCTTAGGCCGTAATAACCTTTAAGCGTCTAATCCGATCATAACCGTCATTCTTATCGATAATCGAAATGACAACCATTTCTACCCGCACGAAGGGTATATTGTTATGCATCCTGCCTGTTTTGGCCATTCCATGTTCCGTCACCTTTGTCCCAACCAAATCCACTTCCACATCCCACTTATTCTTTCTCCTGGGATGTTGCTCTTAAGCCTAGGTCGTTATTCGCCAGTAAGAAAATCGATAAAAAAGGTCCCAAAGTCTTCTATACATTCAGCTACCAGGCTCAATTCTTGGCCCGTCAATTCGGATGCCAACAAGGCTTGCCTGGTCCCATCGCTCACCCACATTTAATAATTAGAAATCCGGATGGGAAAGCCATTCCTGAGTCGATTGCCCCGTACGTATCCTAGCTCACAAATTACACAACTTCCAACTTGTACATCCCTTTCAAAACTTCTCCAACTTTAGTTGAATCCTTTCGTGAGTGGTGGTCGGTTACTTGGGCCCTGATCGCCCCTGACAAGGATCGCTTGCTGAACATCCTTCTTCCCCCACCTGCAATAACATTAGGGGCGACCCCTCTGACCAACACCCGAAGGAACTTGATTACTCAAGGCACTGAGTCGGGTACTCCACAGAGGAAGAGAAGAGTCTCTCAGACTCAAACTATTCCCCCCTCTGGGGGCAATCAACCGTCCTAACAAACCGCCCATCAGGTCGGCCCCCTATGAGGACCCAACCCCGTCCAGGTATAATCTCATACTCTCAATTTAACTTGATCCCTTCCTTACCATGGTATTAATCCTTATTTTTATACTCAGGTGTGGCTTCGGCTCGGGCGACCGCCCAACCTCCTTCCAGACCAACTAAAACAGCGAAGCCAACAACCGACCAACTACCAGAACCTGAGCCCCTGACCAAGCGCCGGGCCTTGAATAAAATACCTTCATCCGCCGAGCAAACAACAACAAGGGTCTCATCTCCCAGTGAGGCGACTGCTTCAGAGATGGGCAGGTTACCTTATGTTGCTTCAGACTCATCTCTGCCTACTATGGCACCGGTGGCCACACCTATGTCTGCTTCTGCTACCTCTAATGCAACCGCCCCAGACACATCAAACCAAAGAGCAACTGACTTGGGGGTTGCCGACCCAGGGGCAGCCGACGTGGAGGTTGCCGACCTAGGGGCACCCAACTTGGAGGTAGCCGACCCAGTGGCAGCAGACCCTCTACCAGCGGCGGACAGACAGGACGGAGAACCTGTACTTGCTTGACCAAGGGGACTCTTACAGGAGTTACAAGGATTCTCTCTTCTGAATCAGAGACCTCTGTCAATCTGGTAAACACTTGAGATCCCTTCTTCCAAAGTACCAAAATACAAGCTAGTATTAACATGACCTTTGACACACTATATTTCCACCATTCAGGGACCCAGATCCATACCTCAACATCCACTCGAAGCAGCCGACGAATCAGCTATCGAGGTACCAGTCGCCCAACCCTCCAAACTTATGGCTATTTTGGCACCTTCAACGACCACCATCCGTCCAGAGGTACGTGCAACCTTTCACAATTGATTCTTAACATTTATTCTCCATTCAGTCCGAGATAAACATCTTTCATTTCAGGGATGTTCTGATCCAGCCCTCTTGTTGGTTGTCCCCATTTTAAAATGCCCTCTTGTTGGTGGGGTGGGGTGGCATTTTAATTTCTTCAAGCTATTGGTGGTCTCTTGTTCCAAATGTCTTCAGAGTCGGCTGCTGCCCCCATTCTTCACCAACTGATGGAGCGACTATCCGAACTCCGGAATGAAGTTCTATTTGCCCAACTTTTGATGGTTGAGACACCCTTGCCTGACTTGGATCGAATAAGTCTGGAGGATTCCTTGACCAAAACCAAGGAATCCATTCAAGAGGCAATTGGCCGACTAGAAGGCCTGAATAATGCCAAGGCACAACTAGAGAGGTCAATCCGGCAAAAAGAGGCATAACTGAGGGCGCTTCATCAAGAAAGGTTTGTCCTGGAAGGACATATCAACGATGAGCAACGCCTGATTGATCGGTACCAAGC